GCTATTAGCATATTCGACAATGAGCTAGCATTAGCAAAGCATTCATGAGCATCGTAATTGCCAAAGGCTGTATGAAGCACCGTGTGATCAAGGACTTCCAGTGCTGACGGCCCCTGAGATGACTGAGCCTTCTCTCACTTTCCAAAGGAGGAGACGGATGCCCCCTGGAAGTTACAGTGGCTTTTCCAGGAAAGGCAGAGTCATGGGGACTGAAGAGGGGGAGCCACACTCTGTGCCACAGCTGCTCCTGGAGGCAGAGTCCACGGCATCCTGAGGAGTACATGCGGCCCACAGTGGCAGTTACGGATGGTGCTTCTGCTAGAGATGCTCCCCAAGGAGGCGGAGATACTCAGAGTGGTCTATTTTCCCAGTGGAGAAGAGCAAGCTGAATGACTCAGGAAGAAGACAAAGGCAAATACAGAACAGAAATGCCTCGTTCTTGGTTGGACCTATTCCCAGTTATAGGATATACCAGCAAAGGTGTGTCCTCCAGGTGGTCTGGTTTTTGGTAGCTGAGCACACCCTTCATATAAGAGACGAGGACATGGATAGCCCTTTTTATGAGACACCTGGACGCACGTGGGCTATTTTGCAGGGTCCAGTGTTTCCTGTAGGTCACCTTATATAGTCAGTGGGGCAGTTCCTGCCAAGAATATGAATCAGAAGATGGCAGAAGTGTTGGGTGTGCTGTTTGAATACACCTGAGGGACTGGAGCAGAGTGGAGTGAAACGTTTAGCTAATATGAGTTCCCAAAACCCCTTCACTGCCTGGCGAAAACTCACGGACGGCGCTATCCATGTTGCAGGATTATCGCTCCTCAGCGGTTACAGGGAAAGGGTGTGTTCACACGGGGTCAGATTTGGCTCTTCCCTTTCACCTTCACTGTTGAATGTAAGTAGAACCACGACCCTACTGTCTCTTCGTTCTTTTTTATGAGGCAAATCTGAGTGCCTCTTGTGTGTCTGCCGCTGACTCCTCATTCTGTTTTGTTTCGGTCATCATTTCTGGCACCGTTGATGAGGACGAGTTCTGACTTCAGTCCAGTCCTCTGGGGTACGGTCTGCAGAGATTCGGGCCAAGAATATCTTGAGCTTCGGTGAGCACAGGATCTTCTCTCTCTCATTCAGAAATGTGGTCTTTGGAGTTGCTTGGTTCCCCTCCCATGCAAAAGGAGGCTGGAAGGAAGCAGCTGTGCTACGCAGAGGCTTTTGGATACGGGCCGCAGAGTTCTGGATGCTTTGGAGAATCACAATTTAAGCATCAAGAAAAGGCCTTCGAGGAATAGCTAATGAAACTCAGCCCTTTTAGCTAGAGATAAAAATAAGAGCTCAAATAAATTAATACAAGTACCACCCAACCTAGTCAGAGGCAGAGCTGGGGCCAGGGGTCCTCTGGCTCCATGCTCGGGATCCTGTAGCACAGACACTTCCCAGTGAGGACAGCGGGGCTCGTGGACATGGCTCACAACTGCTCACAGGCGTTTGTGAAGAAGCAAGGTACTTGCGTTTACCTTCCTATGTGAGAGGGCAATGTCGATATTTGCATTCACGGTGCTTGTTTTCAAAGCACATGTCCACCCTTCCACTAAGGCAGTAACCACTGAGGGATGAGGATTATCAAAATGCATACGACGGCGGGAGGAACTGGAGCATCTTCATGTCTGATCATTTCATTTTGGGAACCAGCTGCTCTAATCTCCCACTGAGTTTCGAAGTCAAAGGTATGTCATGCCTGAGATGGAAAATTCAGGTAGCCATCTCTGCATGATCCATACACACGTATCACAAAGTCAGTATGCACAAGACCGGTTTCTTGGCGTTTGGGGGCATGGGATGGGCTTGGGGCTATACTGCAGCACTCTGAAATCTAACCACTTCACTCATTCACTCATTTTTGGTCACAGAGCAGCAAACCAGCCAGAGGTCATTTTGTTTAATTCTGCAATTTAGAAGAAGGAAATGTGACTCAGATGAAGTGGGTTGCTCGTGATTTTTAGAAAGTAAAAGTAATTGAAGCAATGAAATCAGCGATTGCATCTCTGTGGTTATGTGCTTCATTTTGATTCAGTTCTGCTCCACCCCACCCCACCCTGCTCCCTAATGTACAGTGTCCGCTCCTGGTTACTTCTCTTTCTACGTTGTTTTAACCTCAGGAGGGTTCACTGATAAAGAATCTACCTGGGGCCCTAAATCCTTTCCAGGTCTTATGTTTCAACATTTCATTGAGGCTTCTGTGGTGATACAGAATCTTTTTCTAAAAAGTTTTAATAGTTTTTGTTAAAAAAATCAGATTTAGTAAGTGATTTATTGTGGCTGTTCTCTTAGATAAGGTTTCCAAGAAATATGATCTTCATTCCCCGGATCTCCAACACAGGATAAAACAATAACAACAAAACAAGCGAAGCAAAACAAAAAAAGAAATGTTATCTAATGTGACATTATTTTCCCTACTCAAGTCACTTGGACTGAATTTTTCCAGTGGAGAAGTATTTGAGTTTACACACACGTTCACACCTGTCATCTCACGATGGCTCAAAGTTTTTCAGTTGCTCAAAAATGTTAGACCCACCATCCAAAAGGTCCTGCAATTGAGGAAGAGAGCTTCAAGGCGTGGGAAAGAGGGGTCTGGAGGGCTCCACGAGGAATTATTCTGAAAAGTTCCCAGAGAGTTGGTAACAGTTTCACGCCTCCTGCAGAGAACGCAGGAGCTACAGCAAGGCAGGAAGCTGGCTCTGCATCAGCAGTAGCCTCACCTTCCGACAGACTCTGGCCCTGATCAGATTAGGGTAGCTGGTATAGGTTTCTCCCCAGACATTTATCGTTGGATGTATTTGGAATGTTCAGAATCCTCTCTTTGTGCTGTTTCAAAATATTAAATTAATCAGAACATTAGACGTTATTCCTCCCATCCAGCTGCACCCTTCCACCCATGAACCACCCTCCCTCCACTCAGAAAGTAATTCTGTCATTTCCATGGTTATCAAGAAACACAGATAACAGAGGAAAGCTTAACTGCCATAAGGAGTAGCTCAGATAAAGTGGCCTCACAGAATCTCAGTGATATTTATAAGACTTAGTAAATTCTAACTAGATGGTTGTATTTAACAGGTTTGTGGTAACAGATCCATTATAATTAAGGTACAAAAACCTGAAAATGTTTAAAACATATTATCTACAATATTACAATATGTTCTACAATTTCCATATTGTTGCTATTCTATGAGAAGGATGAAAACTCCAGAAAGGAATGTTGTGCCAGTGTATTAACAGTAACCCTGTCATCTGATTAGCCTAAATTTGTTAGCAAAATTTTGCATATACTCCAGTGAATAAGCTGATATAAAAATCTGACACTCTTTGTATTTGCAACATAATACTACTGGTCAGGAAAATAAACCCACCTGCACGAGAAGCGAGTACCTCATTTTAAAGATTCAGGGGTTAAAACTCAAATGCTTAAGACTTCAGCCAGATCACAGAGCTAGTCAACTCTTGTTCACAGCTGGGATCAGCCCTACATCTGGGCTACTTTATTTATGATTTTAAAATTTAATTTTTTGTCTTTTTGAGACAGGGTCTCACTCTGCAGTTTAGGCTGGCCTTGAGCTCACTTTGTAGCCCAGGCTGGTCTCGACTCTCAATGATCCTCCTGCCTCAGCCTCCCGAGTGCTGGGATTACAGGCGTGCGCCACTACACCCAGCTGTCTGGGCTATTTTATTTTCACAATTCCTCCCCAATAATAGGGGGCTTGGCTATATTAATCAGCTGCTTTAAGAGTTTGGGAGGCAATGTTATTCTACAGGCTAACACTGGGTACCCTGTAGGGCAGAGAATTTGCAATTTGACAGGGCATGTTCTCGGTTTTAGCCCTTTCTGGTAGCCTGGGTAGGACTGACTTAATCCCTTTACAGCCTGTTTCCTCATTTATCAAACTGGAGTAGTAACTGGGGCACGGGATTGTGGATACCACGTGATGTGTACCGCGCATGAAATGCAGGACATACAGTGCGCGGTGAGCCTGGGGCCCACCCCCTAGTGAGGCTGAGATGATTATTTCCTGAACCACAGGCCACGCTTTCTGTCACAGACAACAGTGGGAGCACCAAGTGTAACAGGCATGAGCACTGCTGGGGACACGAGATGAACAGTGAGTAAGGAAGAAGTCTTTGAGTTCTCCCACCATGACCGGGCAGGATCCTGTGGGAAGAACCCGAGGGGAACAGCACGACAGATCCACTGCACAGAAGCCCAGGGCCTAAGGAACTGAGCAGCCAGCTCCCCTTTTTATCAGTTTTCTTAAAAAACAGAGAACCGATTATTTTTTAAAATTAACAAGTTGTCACATTTTAGTGTAAGAAAAAGTAATTAAATCTATCAAGTGATTTTTTTAAGGTTACATGATGATTACTATTGAAGAAAAACATGTCCCAAAATTAAGTAATTTCTTTTGTAAGTGTAAAATCTTTCATGCCTCACTGCAAAAGTAAGTTACTTCTTGAAGTTGGAGGTGTCACATCAGCATGCAAACATGGCAAAAAAACATGGAGTTTATGTGTGACTGTCATATGCTTCCCCAGCCCAGGGAAGGGCCAAAGAGGAGGCTGATGACCAAAATGAAAGAACATGATCTTTGTTTTCCTTAAATATCCCAAGTCTCTAGATTTGTGTTGTCCAAAATGGTGGCTATAGGCGAGGCATGTAGCTGTTCAAATGGAGATGGGCTCACGGTGTAACACATGCTGAACTTGAAGCCTGAGAAAAGGTCTCAAGTGTACAAGTATTTCTCAAATTGGCAATACGGGGCCAAGGGTATAGCTCAGTGGCACAAGTGCCTGCCTGGCAAGCACAAGGTCCTGAGTTCAATTCCCAGCACCAAAAAAAAAAAAAAAAGGCAGTATGTTGAAATAATGTTTTAGATACATGGGGTTATGTGAAGTATATTAGCCCTACTTTCATCTGATTTCAACTTTCTTATTGCTACTAAAAAAAACTAGTTACATGTAGGACTTGCATTTTATTGGTGTTGGACAGAAATACAATCCAATATTCTAGATACAACTACCAATACACAGAGGAGAGAGGACCATATTAAAAGCCATTAAAACATCTGAACAATCAGTGATCCCACCCCAGGCTGGATTTGTTCAACACACTGCACACATAAAGGGGGAAGAAAGGGAAAGACAGGACACAGATGTGAGACCTGCGAGTCCCGCTAGGACAGTGACATGAGACCCAAGGGCTGGGTCCTCAGAACAACCATAATTAGTGAAAATTACACTAAGACACTTCAACATTTAAAGTCTCCAGGAATTATCCCAAGGGCAAATAGCAAATAAACTGTGGCTCCGTTAGGTCACAGGGCAGCAGTTCTATGCCAGGAGAGGACCAGAGGCTTCTGTCTGCCCAGTTCGTGAAGCGCGAGTGTCACTCTGAGATGGGCCTTTGTGATCACCCAGTTACTAAGGGTTTGTAAAAGGCAGTCCGTATGAGTAGAGAACGCTCACATTATTTGAAATAAGATTGCAGAAGTTCAAGTCTAAGGTGTGTTTTCAAAAACAACAGGGGTGCGTGGGGGTATAGCTCAAGGGCACAAGTGCCTGCCTGGCAAGCACAAGGTCCTGAGTTCAATTCCCAGTACCAAAAAAAAAAAAAGCAAAACAAAAAACAAAGCAAAACAAAAACCCAATAGGGATCTTGGTGGTAAGCAATTAAAAGGAGGCTGGTAGCATCGTGAGAGCAAAAGCTAAACCACAAGCAGTTCACCAAGAACAGAGGCAAGAGACCGCTGGAGTCTACTTGGGATTAGCACAAACCTCAGACTGGCCTCAAAAACTAACCCTGCATTTTCAGAACAATACGTACTCTGTAAAATACCACCTTCTCCATTTTGCTTTCACTTTAAAATTGGTGAAAAAAAAAAAAAGACTTAAAACAACAAAAACAACCAAACCTTGCAAAGGGTCCTTCATTTAATAAATCAGGCTATGGGGTCATTTATGTGCCGTAATGTAAATATAAAATAGGACAGCTGCTTTGTTAAGACTCTGGTAATTCTTTAACAGGCTTTAAACGTAAGAAATTTGATCCAGCACCTTCACTCCAAGGCATATACCCAGGAGAAATGAAAACAATAAATAGGAATATAGAACTAATACAAAAGCAGCCAGTTCCAAAAAGCCAGTGATTCCACTTTTGACATCTAGAATAGGTAAATTCACAGAGATAAAGGTTGGTTGTTGCCTAGGGGTTTGGGCGGGGTGGTTGGGGGGAAGGGGTAATTTTGGGGTTTGAAACTGTTTGAAAATTGACTGCAGCAATGATGTACAATGCTGTGAACACACTAAAAAACACTGAATTGTCCACTTGAAATGCATGAACTATATGGCTTGTGAGCTGCTATAGACCTTACTTCGATACTAGTGCAAAGATACTCAGTCCGTTTGGGCAACTTTCAATAAAACACCATTCATAGAAATCTGTCTCACAGTTCTGAATGCCGGAAGCCCAACAAAATAGCATCAGATTTGATGTGCAGTGAGAGCTGGCTTGCTGCTTCACAGATGGTGTCTTCTTTGCTGTGTCCCCACACAACGCAAGAGGTGGAAGAGCTCTGCATTCTTGCATGTGCGCTCAGACGCTACTCATGAAGGTTTCCTCCTCATGATTCATCATCTCCCAAAGGCCCTACTTCCAAGCCCGAACAGGCTGAGGGTTAGGTGTAGGTTTTAACACGATGGCGGGGGGCACCCTGGCACCCACGCAGTCTCCAGTGCATACCACTAAAAAGGCCCTTGTAGCAATCCCGTGAACATCCACTGTGCTGCACTCTTGGGAATTGTGCAATTCACTGTTTTATGTTAATACTTTCATATAAAGTTTATAGAATTCTTATCAGGGAACTGGAAAATGTAAAATGCTAAGTAGTTTAGATGTCACAAGTTTATGGTTATAACATAAAAAAGGGCACTTGGACTGTTTTCCACTTAGCAATGGGAAACGTGGACCAGATGATTTGAGTTTGCTATTGTGAGATTTTTAGACAGCCCCTAACAGCTTTAGTATGGCCAGTGGAGCACAACATTATCAAATTATCTCCAGATTTTTCTGGGATAATTACATTAACAGGAATGAACAAGGACGAAAGCCCTTCCTACCAGTGCAGGTCATCTCTGGCTACTGAATGCCTTTCAGTTACAAACTTCACATCATCTCCGACTTGTGGCTAGGGGCACGCACGCCGCGGAAGTTCCAGCCCCGGGTGTGCTTTATCACCTAGTTTATGAGGCCGATGGGACTCAAGATAATGAGATACGACTGAACCATCGAGCAACTGCCAGCACGGAGCACACACAGCAGTGTATTACGAGCTGTCAACATTTAATATTTTAAGAACAGAAACAATATTAAAAATATTTTTTGGGTATCAACAAACAGTCAAAAACAGAAAGCGCAGGGCTCCCCAGGCCCATCCTCTCCCATACCTAAAGAGCAGTAATCCAGCTGTAGTCTACTTTCCGGAATTTCCTCAGTTCTTTTTCTTCAGATTTTGACAACTGATATATAACATCTTCTCCCAAATCTGCGTTGCCCGTAACCTGGACATGTTCAGTAAGATTGTTTTCTTCGTCTGAATCATCACTTTCTTTCTCTTCCTCCATATCTACATCATCAGGAGTTTCCTCAGCACTTTAAACAGTAACAGAATTAAACAAACACTTTAGAAGGTTTCTAGACTATAACTTTCTAATTTAAGAAGATGTAGAATGAAAAAGCAAGAACAATTTGTCTTGAATGGACTTTAAAAATTATGGGTTATTATAAAAGAGCAGGTGAATTTACGAAAACTCTAATCTTAAATCATACACATCTGTAAGCACACAGGCACTGTTTTTCTGGGCTATCTTTAATAGATGGCACTTTTTTCAGTGTTTCCCTGATCCCACGTTCTTAACTATACTTGAAAACTGAAACACAGGGAAAGACAGTGGAAGAATCTCTTCATAAAGGGTAACACAAACTATCCTATTTCCCAAAACAGACTACATGATAAAATAAACATGTTTGAAGAACTGCTTTACCTTTTGGTCTCTTCAGACAGCAGCAATGAATTTATGAACATGGAGCACAGGAAAGATGCAGACGGCAGCACATGGGCCGGAGTGTGGAGCAGCTACAGTGCAAGAGAAAAATAGTGTCATTTAAAAAGGTTCTCCTTTGGCACAACATGTTTCTTCACCGTTGTGAGCGCTGAGAATCTAGCACAAAAGGCTTTCCCTGCAGCAAAGCCAAACTGCAGAAAAACTCTCCTGCTTTTCTACCTCTATGCAAACCCTCTCTCCCATCACCCCAGGCCCAGCCAAGAGAATCCCAAATCACGCGGTTAGGTTACTTTGTTTGGGTATTAATGTTATGTAGCACACTAACGATTATTCAAAAATTAAAGCATTTCTGTTTTACATGGTTTGCTCTGCTACTCACCTCATTAATTGCAGGTATGTTCTCTGTTAAAGGGAGCTGTACCAGTTCATTCTCTAACGTTTCATTGAGTTTTTTATCCTGTTGTTGCCTGTGCTTTCCCAATATGAAATAAAATGGGGTTGTTGGAAGGCTTTCTTCTGCTAGCAGCTGTAGGAGTTAAGATAAAAGGAAACTGCCTCAATAAAAAGGAAGGGTACTTTCGACTCAGTAATGTAGTACTAGAAAATCATAAACATCTGGGATGGAAGGAACTTGGGAAATTATTTAGTATGATTCATTTTGCATATGAAGCAACTGAGGCCCAGTCTCCCATTTACTGTGGGGAAAGCTAACAATGGCTATTTAGATGACAGAACCAAATCTGCCACTGCTTCTTTGTCAAGTTCTACAAAAAGTGACAGCAGAAGGGCTTTCAAAGGGCAAAAGCGCGCAACGATAGGGGGACACGCTGGGAGGACGGAGCAGGTCACAGGATGACAACACAGAGCTGAGAAAGCCCAACTCTAAGCTGTGGGAAAAGCCGAGAAGCTCCCCAATTCCCACACAGGGTCCTACAGGTGCTGAGCAACTGACAGCATGTGTGCAGGGTGCGCTGAGAACCCAGCGGGGCTGGTGGGGATCCATGCGGGAGGCCAGGGCTCTCCCTCAGACCCGGCAGAGGGCTCCAAGTACAATCTCTGGTGAACAGAACAAAAGTGTGTTTTTAGACTAGATGCTGGTGGCCGGTTTCATTTTCAGAGCTGATGGTGGCTGTCCGTCAGACAGGAGATGTCTTAGAACACTGGCAGCGAGGTGTAAAGCCTTCGGTCAGGGGCGCGGGTATAGTTCAGTGGCACAGCACCTGCCCGGCAAGTGCGAGGTCCAGAGCAAAACCAAAAACAAAAAAAAAAAACACCTTTGGGCAAAAGTTTAGAAGTATAAGCTGAATCTGAGCGGCCTAGGACATGAAGACTAAAACTAATGACCCTGGAGAGTCCGTCGGTGACGGTTCGGCAGTAAGGAGAGGCTCCACATGGGCAATCTTCCGAACTGCTCTGTGTCCGCGTTTAAGTGAGAGCAGACAGCTAAGAACCGTGGCACTGTGAGCAAAACCTACACAAACAAAGCGAGCCACGAGAACTGACTGAAACGAAAGTCTGATGGAAACGAGCACGCAGGAGGGGAAAGGAGACCTGATAAAAGGGAAGGCGGCCACCCAGAAAACAGGAGGAAACACAGCAGTGCTCTAGAAGGCCCAGCACTGCAAGATGAAGCTCCATGAAAAGGAACAGCAACGATGGGGGAAAGCAATTCGTCCCTTCTTAGTCGTTTCCCGGAAACCGGCCCGGGCTCCACACTTCGCTCACAGGGACGGCAGTCTTTTCAGGAAGGCCCCTTGCAACTGCTCATTCAAAGCTGCAGGCGCCACCTCACTTACTGCTTCCCGGGCCCGCCCTCGCCCCAGCGTAAGTGCTACCCTCTTGTGAAGGAATACACATTTTACTTAGACGACGCTGTTTAGTGCCCCTATCTTCCTGCAGACTATAAATACCTCCAGTTTAGAGACCTGACTATTTTGCTGATTAAAGCATCGCAAGTGTCGAGAGTAGTTTCTGGTCTGTAGTAGGCGACTGACAGTAAACTCAGTGAGTTTTAGGAGGAAAACAAATCACGGATGAAGGATCGAAGAACAGGAAAGGTATAGGACTTTTCATAACGCCAGAGGCTGTTAAGTGGAACAATACCTTTCAAGTGCTGAGAGAAAATGCTTTTTAACTTACAAGTCTGTACCAGCCAGTCGATCTAGGAGGAGAGAATAAAAACATTTCCAAACACGTGAGGTCTTGAATCTGCCTCCAGGCACCAACAGACTGTGCTTCCCCCAAAAGCAAGGAAGTGACCCAAGAAAAAGGAACACTGCGTGGCTTAGGAGAGGTGAAACGACCCGTAGCAGGATAGCAAACCCGAGTCCAGGATGACGACTGTGATGGAGACTTAACAACCAGCCCTGCCTGGAGCAAGTCAGAGACCTTCGGAAATCCTGCTCGCGACTTGAACGGACACCTAAGGGTCTGAAAGATTTACAGAACTTGCATAGCTTGAAGAGTCTGGGGCTCAATGAGGTGAGGAGTAAATGAAAAAAGGGAACTGTTTTCTGCACAGAAAACAAAACGTTGGTCACAACAGCAAACGCAATTTGTGAGACTACACAGTGTGGCTATGACAATACACGCTGACCTGACCAACCCCACTCCTCTCGGGACAAGCAGGGGACAGGAGGGGAGTGTGGGCTGGGTGGATGTGGGCAGTGGTGGTCAAAGCTCCAACAGCTTCGGGAGATCAGCCTTAACAGAAGACACCTAAATCTGAAAATTTCTCAGTAAGCAATACAGTTATGTTTTTCAGAGATACAACACTGAATTAAATACTCCAGCTAAGAGTATCCAGTATACTAAAGAATTTCTGTGGGTCAGGGCAGTGGTGTGGAGCTTTTCTAAGAAGCCTGCACACTGTAGCTGCTCCTCCGTGCCTATGGGATGCGCTTCCAGAACCTTCCATGGTAGTGAAGTTTGAGGGTGCTCAAGCCCTTCTATCAAATGCCCAGTGCTTCCGTGTGCCCCACCCCTGGCTTCCTATACTTTGGCATGGTCCCCCCGCCCGAATATTTTCAATCCACGATCAGCTGACTATTTCAGTCCACGGATACGAAGGGCCAATTTTGACTCTTCAAATCACACATTACTGACAATGTAAATTAAACCAGCTTAGAAGGCCCCTGGACTTCAAAAGAGGCTCACTGGTCTCCACGTGCGTTAGAGCTCGCTCCCGACTGTGCTCTGTGCAGCGAGGGAGGCGATGCGGCCCGCGCGCTGAGTGGCTGGCACACACCTGTTTGCTGGTTGGTGTGAGCTTCTCTTCTGGAGACTTTGCACTGAAGGTCAATAAGCTCTGGAAAGAGATCAATTGGTGATGTCAAACAGAAACTGCACAGTGCTAATCCAAATAAGGTCTTCAAAACTGAGGCCCATTTTTTATTGTGATATACATGTGCTTACAGAAAACACTTAACATGTGCTTAATAACCTCTGTGAGAGTGGTAAGATTGTGTTGACAGATACTTAACAACTGGTGATAAAATTCAACTGACAGACCAAACTCTAGCCAGCATTTTTTATAATAGCACATTACCAAAACCAGCACCAGCACCACCGACGACAATGGGAACCAGGCTAACAAATATAATTTAATAACTGTTGTTGCCTTTTGCTTTCTTGTGCCTAAGTGAATGGACTCAGTGCTCTTTAACTGAACTATTCCACCTAGAAAGAAATCCATACCCCATAATCACGGACTATATTACTCTTTAAAAGTACATGTACCAAGCGGTCACCTTCCCGAGGCAGCAATTACCTGTGATTTTGTTAGGAAGTAAAACTGGGATCTGTTCAGCCACTGGTGGGCTTCGGAGGTGAACGACTCAGGCACGTCTCGGGGAACAAACACTCCCCACTGCACTTCTTCTCTGCAGATGCTCTTCTGAATATGCAATGGCCTGGGCTCACTAGGTTTAAATACAAACACTGGAGGGGAAAAAAGACAGTGACACTCTGCCTGCAAAGGTTAGGTCCAGCCTCACTCGGGAGGACCACACAAATCCTGGGTCTCACCTGCTAGAGTAATGGTATTTACTGATGCCTACTACGGGCCAAGCAGGCTGGCAATGAAGACTGATTTGAAAAAAGCAAGGAGCCTGGCTTTGGAGACCAGGAGTTACTGCAGAAGACAGCAAAACATTGCTGAATTATTTCACCTTAAGTACCAGAAAGTGTTCCAAAAGCATGGAGGGGGACCGGGTAAGGCTTCTTAGGGGACTTGGGACTGCACTGAAGGGGGAAATCTCTACTGGAATTTTGACAGGGCAGTAGGGATGTGCTGAGCTCACCCAGAGCTCCGTGTGAAGGTGCATGGGAGGAGGCGCGGGACAGAAGGGAAGGGGGTGGCCTCAAGCAAAATGGCTTCAAACCCACTTGAAGGCAAGTTTGAGTCATTACATTAAAGACATTAAAAAGAACACAGGCTATCGGATTTCCTTTAACTTTCAAATTATGGCTCCTACTTACAATCGGAACCCCCAGAAGACCGAGAGACGGCAGCGATGTGCTCTGAATGTGGATCTGGTTCCATAACTCCAATGCTTAACTTCGCACTCCACTCCACTGCGGGGGAGAAAGTACTTAGGGTGAGGGTCCTTGTCCTTCCTGGGACAACAATTCTAGTACTCTTAGCGAGGACTCTGTGTTTCCAACTAACAATGGAGTCGCAGTGAAATAACCTGGGGAAGAGGTACTCAAGCGGCGAGCAGGAAACGGAAAAACAAAAGACTTCAGTACATCTGCAAACTGTAAAAATGTTATTGTTCTCAGAAACTCACGTCTAGTGCTTTTCTGCTGCCGCTGAAAGTGGGTGAGGTGTCAGCCACAGTCACTGTAGAGAATACAGCGCACACCTATTGCTAAGCAACCACCACACCTTCCCAGCCCCCGGCTGAGTACAATGTCATTGAATTCACATCTGTTAGGAGGGATGATGGCAAACTTCATTCAAGTGTATCCCATCAGGGACACTGCAGGTTAACAGGCTTAGTAATTGGCAGAAATACTTCTCTAGCTGTTATGGATTTAAAGAATATGGTGAGCAACAGAAAGTCACACACCATGAAGACAGTGGGAAAAAGCAAAGACAATATAATGGAAGCTGATTTACCAATAATTAGGCAGTTTGTAAGCGCTCTATTACACGCTACAACTTTAAATTTTGGTGCTGTATGTCGTGAAGAATGATAATATGTCTAGGCAGATTCATGAAGGTATGACAGAGCCCTACTTCCTAAAATATCACATAGCAATTCCATGTGCTTTATCCAATCACCGGAGCATAAAAAGGTATCTTACATGCACAGCTGAGCAGGTTCCAACAGCAGAGAATGCCGTTTTCAGTAGCACCCAGAAGATACTTTGAGCACGTTAATCTCCCGAAGCAAAGGCGCCTAGGATAAAACCACAAGGAAGTCAGCAACAATCAGTCCTAGCATGTTCAGTTACAAGGCACTTTGGCTTCTATGCACCATACTAATCATGTGCAATGCAGATTTGAAAAGACATTTATCATTGTTTATACTTACACTGAGGAATGTAAGAGGAAAGTTTTATGTAAGTGTTTCACTTCATTTGGAAAACAGGTTAGATGATCAATTCTCTAATATGCCATGCATGATAACAATCAACATGTAACAGAAAATGTATATAAAATGACAAGAATCATTTAACAAAAACCTTGTGTTCTACCTAGCAGATGAAAACTTGCAATCTGAACTTTGAAGGAAGTTTTACAAAGTAGATTTAGAATCAGATATGCTGGGAGTAAGAGACAATTTTCTTTCTTTTTGCTGTGCTGCGGACTGATCCAGGGCCTCCTCCAGGGTCTTATGCATGCCAGGGAAGTCCTCTACTACTGAGCTACATCCCCAGTCCTAGAGACAATTTTACCTGCCATTCTGTCCCTATGCCTAGCTACCTGAGGTATACTGGAAGATATTGTTACCCCACCTTCTCAGAAAATAATGCCTTCTGTGAGTAACACTTTTTATGCAGAGGACAAGCATAATTTGGATCTACTGAGGCTTACGCCCATCCTCTATTATTACACAGCACATGTTTGAAAGTGTTCACTGCCAAGAAAAACTCTGCATACCACGAAGGAAATGCTAATCCCGACTCTGAGGCGCTGGCACACAGTTCACGTACTCAGGACTTTTTAGCTCTCTCTAACATTTGGCTAGCTGCTCGCTCCCCTTGTCTATGCTACCTTCAGGGAGAGCATAAATTTTTACTGAAGTTTAACATTTTATTTAATAAATCAAAAAACACCACATCCATAATAACTAAGTGATTTACCTACCTTATTTTCCCAGCTCGTTGGCAAAATGTACACTTAAGCTCCCACGTTTCTGAATCCCACACGGTAACTATTTCCTCAAAACTAACTGCTAATAAAGAGCCATCTTCAGAGAAACAGCAGTCAGTTGCCTGATACTTGTGATAGCTACCGACAAAGTCACAGGTCCAGCCCACAGCTTTTTCTGTGGAGATATAAGCCGTACGTTAAAAGGGGGCTTTTAACGTATTATTAGATAGCGTTACTGGGACATTATGAGCTTTAAAGGTTAAGAATCAAAAACAACCCGCTCAGCACAACTTCTTTAAATTAGAAATGTTACAAAGTACTGACTGACTGAAAATGTAGCCCCTTCCTGGAGACCTTGATCGCCCCCTAGTGGAGCAGAGAAAGGACTAATGGCAGAAACCCTTCCCTGTACCCTCCCAAGTTAACTGGTGTATGATTAATCAAGAATACCAATTAAAAAGTACGGATTTTGGCAAAAAGGCATGTAAAAATGTAGCCTCTTACACGTACTAAACTTAAGCAATATCCTATTGAGTTCATCAAGGTAGAAAATGTCCTTCCCAAATGGCTACCGGTCAGGAGATAAATACAAACAATTCTTAAAACAATGCACCATTTCAACACAATCTACTTCATAAACTTACTGTATATATCGGAGTCATCTGTTAATATCCACACTTTGAAGTGACCGTCTTTGCTAGCTGTAACCAAGGTGAGAGCTTCACACCTTTCTGCATTACGGAAACAGAGACCTGTGATGTGGTCATCATGTGGCATGCTAATCTTCGTGTTAAGGACAAACCTAGGAGAAACCACACGTTATTCTTACTCCAGAACAATGTGATACGCTCTCATAATGGTCTAAGAATTTGTTACATACCATACATTTGACAAGAGAATCTTTAAGAATGGGCAACTGATAGATCCTCGAATTACAAGTATTTGTGTGCTGTCTAATGGTCACAGGATGCAAAGAGTTCTACCAGTGATCATGTGACTTACTCAGAGCTCATTATGGACAGCAGTCACCTTGGTGGAGCAAAACGAATATAAAATAGGGGCCCTTAATCAATTTTCAAAGCCTACTGTACCAAACTGTACAGGAAAACTGCATAGAACCCAGATGTCTCATCATCTACTTTTTTTTTTTCAACAACCAACTTTGACAGACAAAAAAAATGGAATGCCTGTGAAAGGTCCTACTCATAGCAAGAAAATATGGAATGAAAATGACCATCCCAACTGCCCTAGTTACTAGCCAGTCAACCTCCCCCATAAGTTTATTACCGGATTAAGAAAGTGATCTATACACGAGATACACGCTACCACTGAGATCTTAGGATGATCAGGATTGCTCAGTGTTGTGATTTCACATGTGGACAACAGGCTTATCTTACGACATCCTTCTAAAAAGTAGCAAGACAATGGGCATGAAAGCACAGGCCTAGTTTTTGGCACACAGGAAGGAACTGAGAAGTGGTTACTGAAGCCATGGGAAACCAGTGGGTCCTATCTAATGACACATGTTCTACGCTACACCCATATTTCCACTTTCCCAAGGAACGCAGAACGATGTCAATGGAAGAACCAGGGAACAACTGGGTTCAAATTCTGGATTTGCCTACTTAGGCACTGTGTCCGCAGGTGCTATTTTCATGTTTATCTATGCAACGAGAAGACGTAATGACTCAGAAGACCCCAATGGTTTCTCAATACGGGAATCTTAATTAAAGGCTTTATTAGAAGAGTAAAACCCTCCCCACATCATTAGGCATAAAGCTTATCTTGAAGACTGACAACTATAGTCATAAAACAAGAACTCAAACATTTTAATATCTGAAATTCAAAGTGGCTACACAGGTAACATTACCCTTGTGTTTTCTTGTTGTATTTCCACAGTTTCATCTGCAATTCAAGCTCAGATTCCTTTTCTTGCCGTTGCTCCACTGTTGCCAGCCAGTTACCAAAACAACCAAATGCAGCCTTTGTTAGCTCAATTTGGAATAAACCGGAATCATTGATATATTCTTGCTGCACAATATCTAACTGATGTGTTAAAAAGAATTGAAAATGCCTATTAATGCAAGCACAATGTTAAAGCATTCAAGGAACAACTGAATACATCCAAGACAACTCTTAGACTCTAAATGTAGCAGATTTTTAGACAACAGGAAAAACGAACCAATTATTATAGACATCTAATTTGCTATTAAAAAGGGGGACACGTTGTACTGTATCATTTTGGGAGTGATTATTCTAAATGGCCTCAATATATTAGTGTTGACTAAGACCCACCGCATGAATCAATAGAACCGTCCACCTACAACAGTGCTTTTCTCTATAGAAAGAGTCATTTTCTGTGAAATCTGAAGGCTAAATTCTCTGTCAGTAGAAGAGCTCAGAAATAAACTTACAACCTTTTAGGGGAGTGTGGGAGGCAACAGCCTATGTAGACCCGTGTTTCATTTATGATTTTTTAAAAAATGTTTTTTCCTTGCGTACGTATAAGGTAAATAAAGTGGCTACTAAATGCTTTGGGACCAGAAGTGCTTCAAGAGTGCAGGTTTTACTGCAGTTTGGAATCTGCTTATATGATATATCTTGGGGCTGGAACCCAAGTTCAAACGTGGAACTGATTTGTTTCACAGGTACCTTATATACACAGCCCAAGGGCAATTTCACACAATACTTGCAGCACATCCGCCCTGTGACACAACCCTTCACAGGAGGGAGGTGTGGGATTTGCCTGTGTCACATTGGTGCTTACAAATTTTAGGTTTTGGAGCATTCTGGATTGTAGATTTTCCGATCAGGGATGCTCAACTTGTATTATGCATACCAAGGAGCAGGCATCCCTTTCGAGGGGTTTAAAGGACACAGAAGGAGCAAAGGTGTCACAGTTACTATTACCAAATCTGTGCAGAGCACTGTGAGACCCGAGGAAAAGGCAGGAGGGCATTATCAGGACTGTCAGACATGTTCCTCCTCAATCTACACTGGAAATGCTATCTTTGGTATGGGAACGTGCCTGTCTCACTGCCCGGCAGATACAGGTTTGACTGTGAACCCACAACAAATGCGCAAACGCTGGAGACTCTAGTGGGTCTGCACTCTGAAACAAATACAAAGGAGCAAGTGCAAGAGCGCTTGGCTTCCATGTCAATGCAAGAGTGGCCTCTGAATCATGCTCTCAGCAATAACCTGACCACAGACAACACTATGTTCAGGTAAACAGGCAGAGGATCATGCACTAGAAGCCACCAAATAAATTACTAGACCTCAGGGGTCCGGTAGAGAATTTGCATTAGGTTTAAGGCAAGCTAATGGATCAGAATCTTACATTGTATAACTGCTTATCACTCTGGAGGGAATAAAACTGCAGGTGACCAGGTTTTCCATTTAAAACTAAAGCTTTAGTTTTTGGATCAATCATCAAACCAGTCAAGATACTTCTATCTGTAAAAGAAGTGACAAACTATCGTTAAAATCAGAGAAACTCTCAAAATACATGTAATTCCAATAATTCCAAACCCAAGGATTCTGTAATACCTTTCACCAGGCCTTGAATTACTGCTGATGTGTCAAGGTTTCGGTGAATAACCATTATCTCTATGGGTGAAAACAAACAAAAGTATTTAAACATTAGCAGGTCAGAACTTCAAGCTGAATTCATTTCAAGGTGCATTTATTTCATTTTGAAATAGGCCAAAAGAAAAGAGCCCAATAAGTTCAATGAATCTGGCAGTGTTTCTGGAAATCAGAACTTACATCTTGTGATTTAGCTGAGAAATAAAGGGTGGAGACAGAGCTTTTCTGTTAGAATCTTTTAAGGTCTATACACTGTGGTCTATGGAGATGATTCACACATCACTGTTACTTGTACATCAACAGCATTTCTAAAAGACAGTTTAAATTTGAAGTCACCAGGCCACAACGGTTCTGTGCTGGAGGGAGAGGAAGCAGCGAGCCACAGGATCTCAGAGGCCTGGCTCAGGCTGCCAGGAACAGGACGAGCAAACTTTTAGGGGCTGCAAGGGCGCCTCTGTTTCTATCAGAATCTATCAGACTCACACAGACTTGAACAGCTGGATCAAAAGAGAAGCTCACAGCATCCTTCTGTGAATGCCTTTATTCGTGAAAACACCCACGCCCACTTTAAAACCCCGCCTGCATTTCCCCACCCTCCTGTTTTAAACGATTTTGAAAACATAAATGGCACAGCGACCGCCGAACACAAGAGCCCTTCATTTTCATAAAAGCAATTCTGAAAACGTTGGCTTCAGCTGGTATCTTGGGGTAGAGATATGGAGAAAAGAGGAGAAACAGCAAGAGAATGTGCTCACAAACCTCACGCTACTTTAAATAAGCTCGGTCTCCTTTCCATTCCCGCAGAAGCAGGCGATGCACGGCATCAGCCACAGTGCATTTCTGCAGAGGAAACGGACTTACTGTTATCCGCGTGAGAAGTACAGAACAAGTCTCCGGCGGGGGCGACAGAGATGTACTCGATGGCGGCTCCCAGCCGCGGGAGAAACTCCTTGTTCTTCTCAGCTGCATCGCGCCACTCCACGAGCACACACTCCCGCCCTCCGCTCAGCAGGCTGGCGCCTTCACACCCCGCCAAAGGAAGAGAAAAATACAATTCACACTTTTAAACTCTTTAGAAATACACCATGTCCTTATATATTTTTAAAAATGGAAGTCTTATTTATTATTATTTCCAGTAATTTTTCTGTTATTTTTTGAGACAGGATTTTGCTATGCAGTTCAGGCTGGCCTTGAACTCACTATGTAGCCCAGGCTGGTCTTGAACATGCAGCAATTCTCCTGCCTCAGCCTCTTGAGTGTTGGGACTACAGGCGTGAGCCACCATTGCCTGGCCTATTTTTTTAGTCTTTTTGAGACAGGTTTTCATGATAGGCGTGTGCCACCATGCCTGGCCTTAAGTTACTTTAAATTGACACAGTAATCATACAAATTTATAAGGTCAACGTGATATTTCCATAAATGCATACATTGTGTAATGATCAAATCAAAGTATTTAGCCTATATATCATCTCAAGTGCTTTTCTTTGTGGTGAAACAATCAAAATCTTCTAGCTGTTTTAAAATATGTAGTACATCATTATTAGGTAGTTGCCCTACTGTATGATAGAGAAAATAGTCCACAGAACAAAGCAACAACTTGTAGAGAAAATATTTGCAAACTATGACGTGTGATCATAAAGTACAGTGAATATTTAAATAAAAACAATTTATTACAGCAGAAGACACACTGCCATTCATCCCCATCAAAATCCCCCTCCCATTGAACACACATCATGCACCTTTCCTGACCATTTTGACTCTGGGGAAAAGCCAGAAGTCACATGGTGTCAGATGCAGTGCATAAGGTGGGTGGGGACACACATTAATTCTTTTATTTGACAGAAACTGCTGTAAATGTTTTCAATCAATGGAGGACAATAAGGCAGCAATGACAGTGCAACTAAAGACACCCATGAAATAGTACTTCCCGAGCTCCCTTGGAAAGATGCAAGAACAAAGGCATAAGTGTGTTTAACAGGAAGGGGAGGATTTTGAAGGGGATTAATGGCATTGTGTTTCTTACCATAATATATTTTTTAAAAAAGCATAAACATTTATATTTTTGATATTTCATAGATACCTGGTAAAGAGTTAGCATCTAGAATATATAAGGAACTCGAACAACTCAATAGTAAAACCACAAGTATGACTGAAAAATGGCAACAGACTTGACCTGAATAGCTATTTTTCAGAAGAATGGCCAACAAATACATGGAAAAATGCTCAGTATCATAAATGCAAATCTAAAGTACCTCACTTGAACTCACACATATGGAAAACAGAAAGAGAACAAATAAAATAGCCTAACGCTGCACCTCAAACTTTTAGAAAAAGAAGAACAAGTCAAGCCCAAAGCCAAAGAAGGGAGGAGATTATAAAGACCCAGGCAGAAATTAATGCAATTGAGACAAAGAAAACCCTACAAAAATTAAATGAATCAAAGAGTTGGTTCTTTGAAAGAATAAATGAGGGGCTGGGGATTTAGCTCAGCGGCAAAAGCGCCTGCCTGGCAAGCACAAGGTCGTGAGTTTGGTTCCCGGTACCGGAGAAAAACCAAAAAAAAAAAAAGAAAGAATAAATGAAATTGATAAACCCCTAGCCAACCTTATCAAGAAAAGAAAGTACTCAAATTCATGCATTAAGGAATGAAAAGGATGAAATTACTATAGATTCTATAGAAATTCAGAAGATCATTAATACCTACTTTGAAAATCTTTATTCTCATAGGATAGAAAACTCAGAAGAAATGGACAGATTCCTAGATATGTACAAATTACCAAGGTTGAGTTAAGAAGATATAAAACTGCTGCACAACTCAATATCAATTAACGAGATTGAAAATGTGATTAAAAACTTACCGACAAAGAAAAGCCCAAGCCCCGATGGATTCAGAGCAGAATTTTACAAGAGAAGATTGAAAACCAACACTCCTCAAACTCTTCAATGAAACTGAAAAGGAAGCAATTCTCCCTAACTCATTTCTGGAGGCAAGCATCATACTGATACCAAAACCAGAGAAAAACCGAACCAAGAAAGAGAACTACAGACCAAACTCACTAATGAACATAGACGCAAAGATACTCAATAATATACTAGCAAATAGAATGCAGGAAATCATCAAGAAAATCATACACCACGACCAAGTAGGATTCATTCTAGGAATGCAGGGATAGTTCCATATTCGCAAATCAATTAATGTTACACACCATATCAATAGAGCCAAGGACAAAAACCATATGATCATCTCAATAGATGCAGAAAAAGCTTTCGGCAAAGTCCAACATGCATTTATGATAAAAACTCTACAGAAAATAGGAACAGATGGTCTTTACCTCAACCCAATCAAAGCCATCTATGACTAACCAACAGCCAACATCATACTAAATGCACAAAAACTGAAAGCTTTTACTTTAAAATCAGAATGATAATTATCAAAGCAAAAAGAAAACAAATGCTGGTGAGGTTGTGGAGAAAAGGGAACACATACACCCTTGCTGACTGTTAGGAAGCTCTTAATGCAGCTATGGAAAAGGTATGCAACTTCATCAGAAAGTTAAAAAGAGAACTGCTATGTGACTCAGTAGTCCCCCTACTGAGTATAAACCCAAGGGACAGAACTCAGTTTATCAAAGAGGATAACACTGATTAGGTTTGTCCATCCCTAAATCTCAGCTTCAATGAAAAATGTGAAAAAGCCATTACCAGGCCAGAAAGTAAGCCATTTAAAGGACTGTCTTTCATTACTTAAATGTCAGCGGCTTTCACAGACAAGTTGTCACCTTAGGGTTCTGGTCAAAAAGTTCCTATCATACATTACTAAGCTTACAGTTGGCCCTTGCCCTGATTTGTGCAGAGGCCATGGTTGAGAAAGGAACTGAAGAGGATGGGCAGAAGAAAACAAGCTACAGTTAGGAGGGGAGACAGACCCTGCTGGTACACCTGACACGCACGCACGCGCACACCGGCACACATGCCAGACGCCGACACTCCTCAGCATTCTGGGGACGTGGGCATACAGGAAGACAGGTAAGTGAGAAGTCTGCAGTTTTCGTCTGCAGGGTTAATTCCTCTTTAATCTCTTTCTAGTCTCAGACCCCGTGTGTCACAGCAGCACCTCTGCTTCACTACGGTGTTAGGTTGGGTTTCTCCTGCATCCATCAGCCTCCACTCTAGAAGGAGACAAAGATGCCTTCTACTTCCCAGGGCTCCTGTGAGTTAACCCCAAGTAAACTTTCAGGGTCCAGTAAGAGCAGCTGGTACCATCTAAGAATTGTCCTGTCAGGCTCTGGGAAGGACAATCACTGCTGTGTCTTCTCAGAGTTTGGGAGAATGTCCAATATATGGCTGTAACTTCCATCACATGGGTGGCCGTGTGGTGCTCAAAGTAATCAAAGACACGATGGAGTTTTTCACATTTCTGTCATACGCAAATTTCAAGGAGGTATTTTTACTCACTGTAGCCACACTCTTACGCAACTTATACAGAACACAGGTCTGAATTAATTTAAAATAGCAAGTATTAAATGAGGTAACCTGTCAGTTAAAAACAAGCTTTTATTCCAGGCCCAGGTCCAAACTCTATTTATTAGCCATGTTACTTTAAGCTAGGCAATTGTCAACTCCAAGCCTCATTTCTTTTTTTTTTTTTTTTTTGGTTTTTCTCCCGTACCGGGAACCGAACTCACGACCTTGCGCTTGCCAGGCAGGCGCTTTTGCCGCTGAGCTAAATCCCCAGCCCCTAAGCCTCATTTCTTTCATCTGTAGAAAGAGGACTAATGACACTTCTTAGGGTCTAAGATAATGGATATAAACACTCACAGTTATGTGCACCTGACAGAGTACAGCTACAGTACGGACCGCCATGACGACACACATTTAGACAGATGAGGGCACAGCTTACGTAAGTTTATTATGCTAAGACTTTAGCACAAATGTCTACTCTGGAACTAAGGGCTTGGGAAAAACCTGCCATATACAGTACTGTGCTAAGCAAAGGGCAAAGCCTCAGGGCCACAAACAAGTGTTTGCAATTCATTTGGCCCATGCAACTTTAAATCTCCCAAACTAGAAATGCAGTGACTTACAATATGTGATCTGTATACTTTCAAATTTAATTTTAACTATTAAACCTGCACTTACCTGTCACAGAGAAAGCCAAATCCATGACCATGTCATGGTGCCAGTGTAAACACGTGTAAGTGTACTTCTTGTCATCATCAAAATTCCTCCTATTGGACAAAACACAATTCTTCATTTCAGTAAAAGCATGACAAAGGTAATAAATTGCAATATCAAGCTTTCTGGTCATGTGCAAAAAAAATGCACTTTCATTTCTAATCTCAGTCACTGCTCCACACAGTATGTCACCTGTGGCACCCTAGTAGTCAGTGTCATCATCTTTCTTTGGGACAAAGGCTGACAGAAAAGTTCTCTTCAGTGAAAGGATTGCAGGCAGCATGGACTTTTTCATTCTCCCTAGAAGCCTAAGGCTGGGAACCCTAAATAGTACAAAACGAAGAACACAGGAGTGAAAGACACAAGGTGTCAGCAAAGCCCACTCCCTATTTCCAGCTCTGGGTTCTATGTCTAGTACGGACCTCTGTTCTTCACTCAGAACTGGCCTGTCCTGCAGGATGAGCATAAAACAGTGTCTGAGGGACCCCGGGCTTTGGGCTTCACTGACCAGAGACGAATTTTGCCATCCATGTGACCAGATGCAATGCAGTCTTCCTTTGGGTGGCAGGCTACACATGTGAAATTGTTCTTGGCATGTTTCTTATTTCTTGCTGATGATAAAGTATACCTAGGAGGAAAAAGATTTCCCTACATTATTAAAGTTTCTTGGGAAGTACGGACGTAAGTAAAAGGGAGTGCCAAGCCTTAACAATCAAGATTGGAGAATTCTCAGAAATCAATAAAGGTAGAATTTTAACAGTTTTTGACCAAGAATCAAGCATTCTGTTTTGCAAACATGTATTAGTACACAATATAAACTTGATGTGACTAATACCCCACCACACCAACTTGCTATGGAAGCCAATCTATGTAAGCAATGAAGACAGTTCTCCTCACGTTTTTTTTTTTTGGTGTGGGTACCACTTGTTCAAATTTCTTACTGAACCTAAGTTTCTGTATGAGGATAAGTCTCATAAACTACATCTAAGACAACTAGCTAGTATGGCTACAGGAATAAATTCAAACAGATAAATCTACTTGCTATGATATCTACACTATTTCCTACTGCTATGGTTTGTGTCTGGATGTCCCCGCAAAGCCTTACGCAGTCATGGGACGGGCTTCTAGAGTACATGATTGCTTCATGGTCCAGTGCTGGGACTATGGATGTGAGTGCTACACTGGCCCTAGGGCAGGTAACCTGCATATAATGTAAGGGAGGGAAAGAGCCTGCTCTCTGCTGCTCCCCCATTTCTTGCTCTTATTGCTTTTGCTGTTTTCTGCTGCCATGAGCTGTTGCCCTCTGCCATGTGCCACTCTGCCTTGGAGCCAGCCAAGTATGGACTGAAACCTCCACAACCTGTGAGCTAAATAAACCTTTCCTTCCTTAATTCTGGGCGTTGGGTATTGTGTCTCAGCAATGAAAGAAATATAACCAAGACACCTACTCTTAGGCTGAGTCTCTGTCAATCCTTTGGCTCTGAAGAAGTCAGGATCCTTATATTGCACAGAAAACAAATGTTAACCACAGCAGGGCAAATGGGAAAAGGAGAGGGTGTCACTACTTAATGCTTAGCACCAGTCTCTCTAAGCACATTATCTTACTCATCTTTACAACTCCATTAGGTGGACATTATCTCCACTTTAAGTATTTATTAATTTGAAGTACACAGGGGTTCAAATGGGCCAAATCTGATCCATTTTAAACCCAGCTATCCCAAAGCTTATACTCACTCCTACATCCATACAATGGGAATAAGGAGCATCGGGCAAAGTCTTTTCGATCTACACCTCACTTTGACACCAAGTACACAGACTAGAATTGAGGGGTACGGGCTTTGGGCTGACGCTCCCTGCCTTCGTTTTAACTAACACTCCGCAGCCCCATCTGGGTTAAACACTACACTGCGACACCTTCTGGCCTCAGAGTCAAGTAATGAAGCTGAAAACATCTTCGGACCACAGGGTAATGAGGACAAAGTAAAACTGAAATAACCTCTTGAGTAAATAAAGCAAAGTTAACAGAAAGGAATTCTTACCTCGAAGTTGTTTTCTTTTTGAAAAAATAAACCGACAAGTAAAAGTCCCGTACCGCAGCAACATACTCTCCCTGGTGTTTCAAAGAGTGGGTAACAAAACTGTCAGTGCTTTTTGAGACTATATTAATGTAAAATAATACAATATACTTTGCTTATGGAAAGGATAATCTTACTTTTAAAACAAGGTGAACTCAAACCCTCAATCCTACAATAAGACTCTCTAGCTTTAAGTATGATTTACATTTCTTTTCCATGAAAGGCGTAATTTACCAACAACAAAATGCAATGCTTGGCCTCTGTGTATGGCCACAGACCCTCTAGCACGGTCAACATGGGGGCTAGAACATTTCTTCCTGCACCTTGGGGATGTGGCTTTGTGCTTTGTCAGCTGCTCTCCATGTCCCCATCCCGCCAGCACTCATTCATCTCTTTCACCTTAGACCAGCTCTCTGCCTGTCTATGTTTGCATTCTCTCTCAGCATCATATTTTTTTGTTTTTTTTGTTTTGTACCGGGAATTGAACTCACAACCTTGAGCTTGCCAGGCAGGCGCTGTGTCGCTGAGCTCTATCCCCGGCTCAGCACTGTCTTTTAAAGGTTCATCTATTCTGCATGCATTGTCAACATTTTGTATGCTGAGTACCACCCATATGCACTGCACAAACACACATCACAATTATTTATTTGCTGGTTGGTGACTATTCGGGTCATCTGTGTTGGGGGCACATCACTTGTGGTCATGCTTTTTTTTCTACCTAGGCATGGCATGGTGGGATAAAGCTACTTAACTTCACCCCATCATTAGCACTTCCAGTGGCTGTGAAATGGTATCTTGCTGTGGTTTAATTCAATGACTCATGATATTGAAGAGTGAAGAGTGTAACCATGTTAAAAAGTTTACCCTGAAAGCTTTCCAGAAGAATGACAAAATAATGCTACAAAACTCAAGGCTAAAGAAACATGCCACTACAATGATTTTAGGCTCTTCTAGTGATATTTAGTTTTAAATAATAAAGTGGTTAATGGCTGGGGATACAGCTCAGCAGCACAAGTGCTTGCCTGGCAAGTATAAGGTCCTGAGTTTGATTCCCAGTACCAAAAAAGAAAAAAAAAAGTAATTGACAGCAGATTTTTTATATAAATCATGGTATGGACACACAACATCTCTGGCAATCATTTTACTATACATTCATATCATAATGCTAAATGGAAGAAAAAGGTAAAAAGATTTTTGATCCTCATTCCTTTTGCGAAAAGTTAGTTTATATGTATTAAAGTCTAGAAAGGCATCTTTTTAGTGAGATTGCAGATTTTGTTTCCTCGCTGTAGTTTCCTGTAATATCTGAATTTTTATAATGGGTACATTAATTTTGGATAGAGGTTCTATTTTCTAGAGGTTTACAGTCTAAAATGAAACAATTTGAGCAGCTTTTATAGGGGCCAGGCAAAGAAATGCAGTACAATCATCAAAAATTGTTATTTTCTGGAAAACTGGAGGGTTTACAAGGTCAGTAAGACAGAACACAGAAAATAAAGGTGGCCCTACAAAAACTTCTACCATACATACATACTAAAGCAATGAGAACCCAAGGCCTCTTACTTGATAGCAAGCTATACTAATTCAATAAATAGGGCGATATAAAATCATTATACCATAAAGTGGTCTGAGGAGAGACTGCGGGAAAGAGATCTTGTGTATAAAATAGGAAACAAACAAAGCAAATTTACCTCACGTCCAAAGGCAGTGCACTTGGGTGACTGGTTGATATAATCCAAAACAGAAGACAGTTCCTTAGCTTCTACTTCCTGGCTTGGGGATTTTGGCAGTTTCACTGAAACCAGCTGAAACACATCTGGCCAAAGGAAGCCATATTAGTGTAAAGCTCCTCTAAAGAAAGTAGACATGGACGCTTACCATACGGAACTTTAAAATTCAGTATTCTAGAATTTCAAAATTGTAACTGTAGGCTACTGCATAAAACATACCTTAACGCTGGACTCTGAATATGCAAGTTTTAAAAGGAAGTCTAATTCTACAACTCACATACCTGGGAATAAGCCCTGTAGAAACAGAAATGAGCTGAGCTTTAACGTGGACACAAACTACGAATCTGAGGGGACGCGAGCAGCCGAAGCAGTGAGCCACCTCAGAGTCTGCGGGACTGTGTGGGCGTGGCGCAACGTTCACAGGGCAGCTGTCTCCTGTGACACTGACACGCTCTTCTCCGTACAGTCCTTTAACACAATTTCTCCCTAAGACATTTTTTTTTATCTTGAGAGTACAAGTAAGTCTTTCAACTAACCTACAAGGCGACAAATAAGCTACCCTCCCCTGGCACAACCTAGCAGAACCTTCCTGCTAGTCCGTGAACATGGCACGCATGCTCTCACTACTCCTGACTCCTCTCCTCCAGGGGCCTCCGCTGGCCACGCAATTAGCAAGTGCCTCTCCCACACTGCCCATTCCCCTGCCCTGCCTACTGTTCCTACACCTTTTCTCTTATTGTTTGCTGAGGGATCTGGGCAGCTTATTGCTGGGACTTAGGGTCTGTTTTGTTTCTTGCACTAAAAATGTTACCTGGCACATTAGCTGCTGAAGGATTGTATTCTACAGTCCACAAATGAAGCCATAAAATACAACACGTAAACAAAAGATTAATTTGTTTTTAAACCACAGCAGCATTTCTCAGATACAGTTTTCTGCCACAGGCTCTGCAGCTGCGGAATAAGTCGGATGGTGGTGCTGTACGCGGGCAGCTGGCTCGAGGGATTCTCAAGCCCCATGCGTGTTTCTGTACCACAACAGCCAGACTCGCACATGCTGGGTGCCCCAGGGTGCGAGGTACTGGGAGGAAACTAGGTCTGCTGTGCATCCAGGTTAGATCATGACCAAGGCCTTTACTCTGGATCGGCAGCTCTCTCGCTTGCACAGTGGGCCCAGCTGGGAGTTTTCAAGTGAACAATCAGGGCCCACGCAGAGAATCTTATTAAGGCTCCCATGGTGCTTCTCCCACCCGCCAGGGTTAGGAATCACTGGTCTCACAGCTCTGGACGACAAGTTCTGTCATCGTGTTGGCGACCACCTCTCCACAGAGGCACGAGGTGATACAGAGGTGGTTAGCAAACCCTGCTGATGAGAATCAGCTGGGAAGGTACTACAATGAGACTCCTGAATGATATCCCAGACCTGGTGCGACACCGCAAATCTGAGTTTGCAGTAACCATGTGGACGAGTATTTAAAACCCACCGTTTATTATGTACAAAACAACTCAGGTATGGAAAAGAATGATGTGTTTGAAAAATCCCCATCTGGGAAGATCACTCATTTCAAGGATATTGCTATTTTCAGGACATTTTGTGCATGTCCTTTAGAGGTGGCTTAGGAGCCCCATAAGAAACCGAAACTTATTGTTTTTCTTTTCTACCACATTCTTGATAGATACAGTATCACGCATTACCAGATTTGTCATTCAGTAACTTTTAAGTAAAAAAAATAGATTTAGTTTTACAATTGAAAATTCACAGGTTACTTTATATGTATATACATATATAAAAACTTATATACATATAATTCATATATATTTATAATTTATAAATATTTTAGCAAAATCTCCAAAATAAGTAAAACTATTGTAGGGTTCGCTCAGCTAAGGAACTACCAAGGAGGTGAGCTGACTGCCCGGTATCCATTTGAAAGCCGCTCTGTACTTTCATTATGAACATAGCTGGATTTTACAGAGGGCACCACTGGGCGCAGTGGCATTCTTGAGCTCTGGGTTTAGAAATTTTCTTTGGCTGTATCTTTCACGTCAACATTCTGTCCTATCAAATTCTTTGATTTAAGGTAAGTATTTATAACCACTGACAATATTCTAGGAATTCCTGAAATGCTGATACACGGCCGTTTCAATGGAATAGTATTCTAATGATAGTAAAAATAAAGTAATTCAGTCACACTGCTGGTTCTTAATATAACCCTATTTTCTATACCGTTTCCTATAATGCTTTAGTATTAACAAACTGGCATATAATAACAGGTAAAAGGATGGTGACGCTTAAGCATGACACACTTTAAATTCAGTAGAAAGAAAAACTCTAACTCTTTGCAATGCAGCTTTAAAACCTGAGCTTTGAAGTGTATTATTGTAAGTGTATATAATCACTCTCTCACTGTATATTTCGGAACTAGTAGCCTCTCTGAACAAATAATAAAAGCAATGGAAAAGCCAACCTCAAAAACTGTTAGCTTCAGATTAAAACCAAAATGTTAAGTTATGAGAAACTGTAAACTATAAAGAGCTATTCCACACCCTTTAAAAACAAAATAAATGCAGTATACCATACCTGGTTCTTCTTTGTTTGTTATAACAAAGACAGAATCCTCAGCACGGGTGAGAGTAAAGAGGGCATAAAGTTTAGGTCCAACAAGGAAAGTCTGAAAGATAAAAAGGACCATGTTGTTTATTACTGTCTGCTTCCACCCAGTAGAACGTTAGTTCCACAGGGCAGGGACTTTTTAACTGCTTTGCTTGATGCTATGTTCTTAACATTAGAAGAGTATCTGGTCTACAGAGGACAATCAACACTTATTTGTTGAATAATCTTTACAGTCTGGTACATATAACTCTACCTGACTTTCACAGTATTCTAATGAATGGAATATATCGTAATTTTAAGTGGTATCAAGGTTATACTTAATTTTTTTCTACCATAAATAATGTTTGAAAGACTACATGCACAATTATTTAAACGAGAAATTATAATAGGGACATTACGGGAAAGAAAGGTATTTATTTACACTGTTATATCCTCACTGATTAGGTACAAAAATGTCTATTTTAATACACTTTATTTCTCTTTAGGTCTTTTCCCAATGTGCAATCTGGCTAAACTGACAGAGAAAAGTGCTACGTCATTTGTTTTTTTACACTGTTCAAGTTATTAATGAGGTTAATCATCTCTGAGGTTTACTGGCTATTTAACATTTTTATGTAGTCAAATATATAATTTTTTAAATGGTGTGTGGATTTCATCAGTTTTCAAGAAGTCTCACCAAAGACTGTATCTTAGAGAAGACAACAATCTGTCAGTATGTTGTTATACATTTTCACACAAGGAAAACTTGAGATTAAGCCACATACCTTTATCAAAATGCCATCTAGATAGTCCCACAATTTAATTGTGCCATCGAAGGAACAAGAATACAGCTGAAAGGGTAAAAACAATACAAAACTGATCAAAAACAGAATCCATTAAGATATAAAATGAGTAACTGCTGATCCATTCATTTCAAGTTCTGACTGAAACCGAGGGTAAAAAGGCAACCTCTGTCAAGAAGGACTCATAAAGTACTGAATTATGAGAGGTATTCAGGAATTTGCTTCTGTTTCTCCCCCAGAACCTGGTTCCTTTTTATTAGCTGTACCACTTTAATCTTACATGAGCTTTCTCAAATCACTGGACAACGTTCTATTTAAAAAAAAAAAAAAAAAAAAAAAATCCAACCCATCATGGACAATACATTCATAAAATACAATAGAAATTATCATGCACTTGGGTGCTATGGTAATGTCAAAACACTATAAAGTTCCAGGACACTCAGCTCCTATACTTATCTCACTGGTGATTGGCACCCACCTGTTCAGGACGATGGTGTACGGGTCCACGTTAGCGCCAGAAAGCCTATGTGACACTGTGGGTTTATCTGCGCTGCAGTGGACTCAGTTTTACTAAGTTTACATTACATTTTTTTAATTGGTGCTTATATGGCTTATGAAGAATTTTAAGGTTTTTTTTTTAAATCAAAGTGGCACTTTTAAGATTTCTGTGAACACACGTGAGTTCACAGTAAAATGTTGGAATAAAAGAAATTATCTACTCAAGTAAAAGAATTACAGTAAATAGAAAATGTGTATTAGTCACTATAGTTAAGAATCATAAACCTAGATTACTAAACAAGCTAAACCTATTCACCGTCAAAATAATGGTTCATACACAAATACTGTGACTTCTTAAAGGTCAACCAAACCTGATTAAACTGCCTTTCTCTAATTTTTCTAACTTTCAATCATCTGAAACAGAGAACCTTCACGTAATGTGTATATGGCGTCTGGGGATAAAACGTAAATCACGCACATTTTGCAAATTCCAATTATAATCAGAGAAGGTTTTTGCTATTAAAACGTGCAAGTGACACATGTACGAATAAATTTTTGTCAAATAGCACAGGATAAAAAGACTATCTGGGCCTTCCAAAAAAGTTACTTAGAGTTTTAAAAGCATCTCATTTAATTTTGGAAAGAAATCAGTGTTACTTTACGCCCTACTTCTTTTGTGATAAAGGCTACTGAATGTCGAAGTAAATCTATTTTTAAATCAACAATAACTTACAAGCTGGTATATGGCTAATCCAGAAGGGAACTTGTTAAAAACTGTGGAGCAAAATATTGTTGAGATAAGATTTAGAAACAGATAAACATTTAGATAGTCACACTGTCAATGCTTTAAGGGGATCTGAGAAGACCTGCAATTGAGAAATAATTTTAACTGAGCATCAACTTCAGAAATTCATACAGCCAAGAACATCCTTTTCCAGTAATACTTATGAAGCATTCTTGGGAACAAATGCCTAGTGGAAAATCCTACGACCTGTGGAACTCTACTTTCAAAACTGAACAGCTGAAAAACGCCTTGAATAAGAAAACCAACAGACCTTGCCCTCAGCCTAAACTGCAAAGTTTCCTAAATCTGATTCAGTTTTTTTCTTTCGTTAACCAGGCCAACGTTAAGATGTTCAACCAGAAACTGTTTGGTACCTGCAGATGGTTGCTAGGGTTGAGCTGGATTCCGGTCACCAGGTCTGTGTGTCCCTGAAGAATGTGCACACACTCTTCTGTAGTTGTGCTATAAACTTTCACAAAGTCCCCAGAGACACAGAAGATATACCTGGGGAAAAAGAAAGAAAAAAAAGTTTCACACACTCTGTAGATGGTATAATCTTTTTATGGTCCATTACAAAAACAATAGCACCCAACAGAGATTTCTTTCAAAATAGTTTAAGAACTGTACATTCAAACTTGGGACATCTATGACTGATTCACTCACTAACTCAGAAGATAGCATGAGGCCAACATCACATCTCTGGCTGCTCAGACACGGTCTACAGAATCACCCTGCACAAACAGCCTAATCAAGTGCCTGCTCACTAAGTGGGTGGAAACTGTGTTACTAATTTACTATTAACTATTACTCTCAATGGTTCCCCTACCAGCAGTGCGTTCCCATGTGCCCAAACTTTCCACTGCTCACTGGGGACACCAGCTTACAAATGTTAAATCATAGGGTCTGTTCTGATTGGTGAAGTCCAGCTCTCTGTAGTAGAACAAAGTACAAAATCTTTACATTAGTTTTTTTTCCTTGTTGCTGAAATGCTGGTTTGTTTTTCTTTCTAGATTTGAGGACCTCTCTCATATAGCAGAGGCTACTAAATTATGAAAGGTAATTAAACTGAAATAATACTTGACTTTTTATAACAGAAATTACTGAAGGACAAAGTACACACACACACATTTTTCAGTAGCTTCCAAATAAAAACTGCCCTATGCCTATTATATCTGACACTTTTCTCCTACTGCCTAGGCATTCTGTGCTTTTCATCTCCTGTGAGAAAATCCCCATTACACTGCAACCCACCAATCAGGCTTTGCCTAGGTGTGTCTTCTTCAGCAATTTTCTCCAGCCTCCTCAGTCCGAAGCTATCCCTCCTCCTTACAAGCTCCCGCAGTATTAAACAGCTGCCCCAGAGTTTCCTTTTCTGCATCAAATGAAGCTCCTTGAGGTAGCATCCATACTGGACCTATCTTTGTTTTCGGCATCTCAGCTTGTTATACACACAGCTGATAAATACTGAAAAATGAACTGTGGGGTTCAGCAACCGCAGTGGAGGAAACCTCAGTACAGTAACTAAGAAGACAGAGACTAGGACACTGGAGGACATCGGGTAGGCAGATATGGGGATGAAAAGGCACAAGTCTGACAACTTCTTTAAGGTTCAGTTTCTTCCTTTGATGAAGGTCAACAGAACCTTGTAAAAACTAAGGGTGCATGCGCGCGTGCGAAAGCCCGTTCCATCAGGCATAGTCAACAATTATCTGCCACACACTCCTATGCAGGATTTCTTACACACCGTGAGGTACCATCTCTATTCTTTTAAAAAGAGATTTTTAACAAGTATCACTCTATCCTTCAGTGATTTGAAAACCTATTCTTACAATGTCACTTCTGTATGACGCAGTGCAGCAAAGACAGCTGACAGTGGGTCATTCAATGCACTGCTGTGCAGACGGTATCTACTAGGCATTTAATTCTTCCAAGAACCCGTGACGGGGAGATATTAAACACTATCCCCCTTTTACAGACGAAGCAACTAAGGGAGAGAGCACGGAGCTTGGGCAGGTCCCACTACGTAAGAATCAGGTGTGGACCTCAGAACAGCTTGCTTTCTAGTACACCGACCTGCTCTGGGAAGACCCCAGGCCGAGCCGTCTCCACCTCCCCGGAACGGGACATGTTTTCCTGCGAAGCTCGCACACAGGCTGCCACTCCGCCTTTTCGAGAGCGCCTGTGTACCCGGGACGCGGGACGCAGCCGAATCCGCGGCGTACACGCCGACGCGGGGAGCGCTTCCCAGCGCCCCAGGCTCTAGCCGCGAAGCCGCGGTAGCCCGTGCCCATCCTGAGCGCCCCAGGCCCGCGGGCCCGCGCTCCCCACGGCCGCCGGGGTCTCCGGCACGCGCGCCTCCTCCGCAGAGCCAGATCCCGGCGCGCCTGACAGCTCTTCCCCCGGCCCTCCGGGAACCCCCGTCCCTCAGCCCCGCCGACCACGCGCGCAGCCCTCATACTTAGAGTCTGCGGAAAACACTGCTCTCCTGAAGTTCAACTCGCTGCCGCCGCAGTGAACCACGCGGATGCTCTCCTCCTCCTCCATCTTCGCGCGGACGCACGAGCTACCACCGCGGGCCACGCCCCCAGCTTCCGGTATTGGGGAGGAGGTGAGTCTCAGGGCGCGTTTCCCCGCCCACAGGCTCTTCTAGGCTTGAGACTCTATGGTACGACCCAGCGCCTTCGCCGCCATCTTTTGTTTGGGCAACGTCAAATTAAGACGTAAGGTTAAAGCAAAACAGATCTGGAGACAGTTTATATTGGATACCGCTACACAATTACAGTATTTAGTGCAGAGAGACTTCTTTTCGGCCTTGTCCATCTGACTGCATAGCTTCTGCCAGAAGCGAAAGTTGGCTCACGATGTATCACTTGAGCTCAAAGATAATACCTCCAGAGGCTTTTCCTTTCTGGTAATCGCGATTCCGGCCCCGGGAGATGACGCAAGCGTCCGGCGTCCACTCTTTTAGTTTACCAGTTGGACTCTTGGGTGGAAAGGTAGAAGTTCACTTCTTGCGCTGCTTTCCGCTCCTCTTTTAGCTGTCGCTTTTTTTCCGTTTGTGGAAGCATCATGTACATTCCCATAGAATCTCCACAGGCCCAAGGGCCTTGCCGTTTTCTTTGGAATTTTGGCTCCTACTCTGGGGTCTGATGCATCCTTCCCCGCGCAGCTGCTCTGGCCGTGTTGACCTTGTGCACCCAACCCCGACAATCCCCAGGTCGTTTCTCTGGTTGGCTAGGACTTCTTTCTCCCGCGTTGCCTTGGTTTCAGTTTCCCCAGTTAGTCGACAGAGTCTGAGTTAGGAAGCTCCGATCTCCGAAGATGTCGATCCCTCCGTTTGCCAGTCCTTTTTATAAAAGTTACGCGCATCATTTTCGTGGCCCCTCTGTGTTAGCGGATGCCTGTCGCTATTCAGTCATTTTTCCGTTGATATTTACATTTGCTCTGGCTGTGGGCCACGCCTAAGGAGAAGGAGCCACCGCCGCTTACCTTTAACCCGAACAGATGGAAGCCTTGCGCTTTTCAATCGACATGTTGGAATTTACCACACAATTAGGAGGTCACAAGCAGGCATAAGTTTGTCAGTCGTGGGAAAATAAATCCACAAAAGGCCAAAACATGTCTACAGGTATCACTATTGCCAAAAAAGGGAAAAATTTGCGTTTTGCTGGGAATTCAACTTACGGGAAACGCTCAAGGCATTATTTTGGGAGTCAGAGCTAGTCAGGGAGACACTATTGTTCTGGTTTATTTCAAGCTGCAGAGATCTTCCCCAAACCTTCGACTGAGATGTCTGTACTTTGCCATGGAGGAGCATGAGGCGTCATTTCTAGAGACAATCTTTCTTGGGGGCTTTGAAATCTGATGTATGCTTTCTGTTCCTGAGCCGAGAAACAAAGAGAATTCCAGTCAAAATTTGGACTTACATGTTTTATATTTAATAGATTATGTGATGAAATGTATAGATAGACTATATCAGTAGCATTTATTATGTATTTTCGACCTATATTTCTCTATAAAGTAAACTTTTTGGCCACTGTATTGTTTTGAAGTTTTGTGAATGTTGTTTCAGGCAAAGGAACAGAAGCTTTATTTTATTTACTTTTTTAGGTTGCTAGCACTATGGTATAAGTTTGTATGTTGATGCATAAAATGTAACAAACAAGAAATTATTACTGTACAACTATATTTCTGCCTCTGATAATGCTTTATTGCTATTGCAGTTAAATGTCTTAGATCTTTGAAAGGAATATATCTGTTACTTTTGGAAGAAAATTAGAGTTGGCATTTTGCTTCCTATATCATTCTGAGACCCATTCAATATTACTGATTACATTTTAAATAAAACAGTAGATTTTTGTTCAGCTCAGCTTTTGTCACAGCTCACTTGATATTTCTGTTCCTTAGTGTTATGTGCTGATTCATACAGCATGACTACTCAAGAAGACTTTGTTATCAAATTACGTTTTCTTCCCCTTATGACTTATGAAAATGACTACAGTGGTGTGCAGAGATAAAACTTGGAAGACAAATTCATAACTTCTACAGAATAAAATACAGAAACTAATTCCCAAGTAATAACAGAAAACTTCATTGTGTGAATGTATGTCAGGTCACAGGAGAAATACCTTCTTCCAGTTACTACCTTTTAATGGCATTGAACTGTTCTAGATTCAGTCATGAACTAAGGAAGGTCTCAGTTCTTGTAGAAACTGTATTGTAAAGTGAAATAAATCAAACATACATGTGCAAGCACCACATTGTGTCACTAGTGTAAAACTTGAAAGAGTTAATTTAAACTCGGAGGTATGATAGACACTGTGAAATGATAGGAAACCACTGAAGAGTAAAGGGCTTCTGGGATGTGGGAAAACAGAAGGGAAAGAAGGAGAAATTTTGTATGTATGTATATACAGGATAGATAACATGGTTGTTCTTCTGTCTTCTATTTCTATGCTGAAAGAAACTGTCAATGAGTCTTTGGTTGACCAGTATTGCATGTTTATATCTGTTTTCATGAGAAGCCACTTTGAAGATATCAATATGTAATACAACCACCATTGTTAATTCCCTACCACTTTGTTTGTAACTCTGTATTGTCTGTATTGTGCTTGTGATATGTTGTAAAATGTTGTATGTCTGTTAATGTTTCCCTCCTTTTATCTTTAAAATAAAAAAAAAAGAAACTGTATTGTAGTTCTGCAATAGAAGATAAAAATGAATATGTAAATTAGAGTTAACTTAAGGAGAAGTGACCTGCTGTCTGGGATGGGGATTGTTACTTAACTCTAAGTTGCGTAACAATGCTGATGTGGCCAACATATATCTATAAAAGGCAAGACAGTAAATGTTTTGGGCCATATGGGTTACATACAGCCTCCATTGTACATTTTATAACCTTTTAAAAATGATAAGATCTATTCTTACCTTGAGGCTGTACAAAAATAGTCTTGTTAGTGAGACCAAGGACTATATTTCAGTTGGGGAGTATTATTGCAAAAAAGATGTTTTGTTGTTATGCTGGTCTTTGTTTTCTCATATTATCATAGTGATGTGTCAATTTAAAAATTCTAACTGAACATTTGTTTTTGTCAACTTTGCATCAGTGATTAAAATACCTGGCACATACAACTTAGGAGGTAAAGAGAAGTTTCTTTTGGCTCATGGTTCTGGAGGTTATACCAGTTGTATCCCTCAAGAGATATTCTAGGTTTTTGTACCAATTTACTGGATTCTCCTCTCTACAACAGTTAGTTGTGATTATACTGGGACCACCTTAGGGTATTTTCGAAAATAATGAAACCTACATTCTACACAGGAGATTTCTATGTAATTGGTTTGTATGTTCACCTGGGCATCAGGTTTTGTGTAATTTTTAATTGTCATAAGAACAATATACGTTTTACCATTAGTGACATTTGGTTCACTTACGGTATCATGCAGAAATCGTCTCAACCTAGTGTCAGAACAGTTTTATTCACTATATAGGAAAATGCTGTACCCATCAATCAGTCAATCACTACCTATTTCCTTCCTTGCAAGTGTATAGAAACACAACTGTTTTTTGTGTGTTCATCTTGTGTCTTACAACTTTCCTAAATCCATTTATTAGCTCGGATTGTGTGTGTGTGTGTGTGTGTGTGTATGTGTGTGTGTGTGTATGTGTGTGTGTTTCTTAAGATTTTTATGTATAAGATCATGTCATCCTTGAATAGAAACGGTTTTACTTCTTTTCTTTTTGAATCCTTTGTATTTTTTTTTTGTTGTTTTCCCTGTTGTTCTGGCCAGATCTTCCAGCACAATACTGAATAGCAGTGGATAAAGTGAGCATCATTAACCTGTTTCTGATCTTGGTGGACATTTTCAGTCTGCCACCAAGTATGAGGTTAGCTATGAGAATTTCATAAATCCCCCTGAGCTTTGAGGAAGTTCCATTCTACTTCTAGTTTACTGAATGCTTCAATCCTAGGGAATGTTGGATTTTGTGAAATGACTTTTCTGCATTGATTGAGATTATTGGAATTCTTCCATCATTCTATTAATGGGTTATACTATTGGTTTTCATATTTTTAACCATCCTTGCATTGCTGTAATAAATTCTGCCTAGTCATGACATATAATCCTCTTGAGTTTAGCTTACTAGTATGTTGTTGAGGACTTTTGTTGTTGAGGACTCTATCACAGGAAATTGTGTTTTCTTTGTATGGCTTTAGTATCAGGGTAATGCTATGTAGTGGATTGACAACTGGCGGTCAACTTATAGCACCCAGCTGAACTGAGTAAGCGCGGTGCTGGGTGTGGGAAGCCTACCTGAGTATTGTTGCCAGCAGCGTAAGAGGAAGAACTGGAGAAGTAGGCTGTTGGGAGCTGTGAGAAGCTTTTGGGTGCTGTTAGAAGCCGTAAGGAGCTGTTGGTTCTCTTGGAAGTGCTTGTCATGCTGACTTTCCTGACCAACTCGGCTGTTCTTCTCATCCAAGAAGCTGGGACCTTGTGGCTGAGAATGGCTTCGGTTCACTTTGGGGGAGCTCTGGTCCTCACTCTAAGCATTGTTTCCTGGCTCCAGAGGGGAAGATAGTGAACTACTCAGTCTCCTGGAGAAACTTGTTGTGTTGGCTTTTCTGATGGGAACTCAGCTGTCCTGATCATTGGAGGAGCTCGGGACCTCACTGTTGCTGAGGATGGCTGTGGTGCTTTTCAGGGGAGCTCTGGTTCTTATTTTGAGCATTGCTTCCTGGCTCCAATGTAGATCCCTCTGCTTGCTAGCACAGATCCTTCATCCTGCTGGCACAGACTCTCTAGCTTCCGCCACACACCTTTGGGCTTTCCATCACAGATCCATGAAACAAGCCTGCATGAGACATTGTCATGGGCTCTAGGCCTCTAGCTGGACTCATGGAAGGCATTGTTATGGGCTCTAGGTCCTTCTGAACTCATGCAGGACACTATCATGAGATTCAGGCCTCAGCTGGATTCTTTGGTCTTTAGTGTGTGGACAGATTTCCTGCACTTTCTTATATATGATTCTTTGGGTGATTATTATAAATAATCTTATAACATACATGTCCTATATTATTTCTCCTTACAAAACCCCAACCAACACATTCTGGCTTCATAGAATGAGTTAATAATTTTGCTCTCCTCTTCTATTTTGAGGAGATTGAGAAGGATTGATGATAGTTTTTTAAAGAGGAATTCAGTGCAGTTCCCCAGAGAAGCCATCTAGTTCTGGACTTTTGTTGTTGCTGTTGTGATGTTTGTGATTTCTGCTCTGATGCCTTTATTTATTATAGGTGTGCTAAGATATTCTGTTTTTTATTTTTTCATTTTTTTTGGACCGGGAATCGAACTCAGGACTTTGAGCTTACCATGCAGGCACTTGTACCTCTGGGCTATATCCCCAGCCCCTGATATTCTGTTTTTTAGTCAGTTTTGGTAAGTTGCATATTTCCAGGAATCTGTCTATTGTATTTAGTTTATCTAATGTTAAAGAACTAATCTTGGATCTTTCAACCCCAGTCAAGCCTAGCTAAAACCACACTGACCACCTCTGCTGAGATGTCCTGCACATATTATTGAACCCTGGAGTTATAAATATATTAATGGTTATTGCTTTAAACCATTAAGTTTTGGGGCAATTTGTTATGCAGCATTGGCCAACAGAATCAAGAATTTAAAATAAAATTTCAAAAAGAAAGTATATTTGGAGAATATATTACTTTTTTCAGTGCTATATAATGCAATGATATATTTAGAGTATATCTATAGATGACAAATTAAAATCCACAAACTATATTATTTCAATTACTTTAGAAGTCATTAAAGTAAGGGGCAGAAAGAAAATATAGGCTTGTGAGTAAAAACCAGAAAATTTTACGCTTAAGATCTGTAATAGAAAAAAGTGTACCACATAGAAGTACACATGGATTATGTAAGCAAAGGAATGGAAGCATGAGAATAAGTTAAAAAAGAAATACTAGAAATTAATGAAACAGCTTTAACAGAAATGGACCATTCTTTCCATGGGGTGATCAGTAGACTGGTCACTGAGATGGAAAAAAAGATCCATGACCTTGCAAAAATGTCTGTACAAATTCCATAACTGAAATGCAAAGAGAAAAAAGAATGAAAAGGAGTGAATAAAATATGCAGTACCTGTGAGGCAGCTACGAAAATGCAACATGTGTGTAAAGGGAATATGGGAAGGGAAGGAACAGAGGAAATACTAGTAAAATGACTTGAGAATTTTCCACAGCTAGAGGTAGATATCCAATCACAGATGCTGGAAGTTTAGAGAACACCAAGATGAATAAGTTAAGCACACCAACTCATACCAAATTTAAACTACAGAAAAAGCAAACGAAGAAAATCTTGCAAGAAACTATTGTGAGTGAGTGAATGTGTGTGTGTGTATTTCTGTCATATCA